GCTCAACCTCAAAATGAATAAAGCCATGAAAAGCTTAAGGTTGGTGTGAAATATTGTTTTATTTAATTCCGGTAGGTGAAATCATGCTTCCACAATAAATATCTTCATTTGAGATAGAAGCTAGTAAAACTTAAAGAAATATATGCTATCTGTTTTAAACATCAACAATAAAAACATTAAAAATTAGCAATAGGAAATTAAAGGAAAAGTCGTACACTTAGTGACAAATTAAAATCTTTTAGAAATCTTGATACCAAGGTCTTTAAATGAGGACATAAAATACTAGGAACCTCAACGTTAACCGGAAGTAGCAAAGTTTACCCTTATTTCATAGGTAAGTGCCGAGGTAGAAACCGTATATTTTGGAATCAGTGTGTCTTAATTTATAAACTCATCATAGAAACCAGGATTAAAATTTTGTACGCCGGACGCGCGTTTCGTCTACAAAATTTTGTACGCCGGACGCGCGTTTCGTCTACAAAAGACTCATCAGTGACCTTCGAATCAAAAAGGTTAAAATGGCCAAATGATGTAAGAAGCTGAAGAGCATTGGGCAGTAACATATCATATGAAATTACAAGTGACATAATGCAAATTAAACTCCTTATTTCAAACAAAAGTTCGCAGATACCATTTTACGTCCAAAGTGATTTTAATTAAACAGGTAGAGTCTAATTATCTCCATTCACTCAAGAAAAAGTACGTTATATATCTGTTTTGGGGATAAGTGTAAAATGAGCATCTTCCGGCACCAAAATCTACTTTTTCAACTTTTTTCGTAACCAATTTTAATTATTAGAGTTAGTTGTCTCAGCAAAATTGGTTGAAATGTCAAATGTTTTCCTTCCATGAATAGTTATAATATTTTGTGAATAAAATATACCAAATTGGCAAGTAAAAAACACAATTGCAAACAAACGTCAACTTAAGCTTCTCCGTTACACAGCTATTGTATTAATATGGGATAGGTGATATCTTATGCGCTCCCGAAGGATACTTCTAGGTAATCAGAAGTCCAAATTTGCGGGAAATCTTATGCTTCTCAGAAACAAATTTGCCCGAAATCTGCCTTTCGCTCATAGTATTGCGCCTTCGGGAGCATGTAAAGGTGCATAGTAGAATAAAGAAATTCAAATTAATGTATGAACGTTTTGGTAACGTAGATGTCGATGGGAAAAATAATTGATTATTTATTTACTAAGTAAGTTTTTTTATACTCACCCCCCCCCCCCCCCCCCCCCCCCACTTCATTTATGTAAGTGTGTATTGTGTAAAGACCTCATAAACAGTTTGAAAAAAATACCCCCTATGCAATGCAAAACATAAGTATTGACATGATGCAGGACTATGGTTCATAAATTTATAGCAATACCTATTTAGTTATGTTTTAATTCATTAATAACAAAATCAATATTAGTACCAATAAAGACAATATTCAAAGATCTTTATACAACGTAAAATCTATATTGTTTTAGAATAATATAATGAAAACTTGGTCATATAGTTTAAATGAATCGTATACAAATTTATAGCCTCTATAAACAACTTTACCGTGAAAACTATGACGAGATATCCCGTTCGTAATGTTTTACGGAGACAGCCAAACTTCCAAACCAAATCTTTGCTTATGTTCGTAAAACAGAATGTAACGACTAATGATATTGTTCAATAATTTATATGGTGGGAAACATCGATAACTTCTGTCTATCGTGTATTTGTTTGATATTAAAAGCCAAAATAATTTAAGGAGTCAAATATGAAGTTAACTAATAAAAAAAAGTATATAAAAAGCAAACAAGCCACTGGTTTACTAACAAAAAAAAAACAGATATTTTTTTTATCAACACAAGCTTGTTCCAGCAAGAGTGAGAACAATAATATGTGTCGCCTGCCGCAACTTATGAGTCTACGGAATCCAGTTAGTAAACTAAAAAATGAGATCGAGGTGAACTATCATGATCAGACTGACATGAAGCAATAGTGGAACCTGTATTCTTTAATATCATTTTCATTGTTCAAGAAGTATGCTAACAAAAACAAGTATCAAAATCGGTCAACTATGAAAATGATCAAATGGTTTCTATCAGACTGGTCAACATAGAACATAAGACCCCTAAATACCAAAAATCTTTTATTCAAGTCATATATTTCTGACATAAATTGGTTTCATTAAGACAACTGAATCTGAATATTACATTACGCAAAGTTCAACCTTGAAAATGAAGTAAAGATCAAATGACATATCAGACTGGCATGCATTAGTCATCATGCTTCTATGTTCCAAATATTACAACTAGGACAAGAAGTTTTATCTATATAAAATTACTAAATGCTAAAATTGAACTGGAATAGTAAACGCCGTCATCGGAAAAGCAAAATCTCATTCGCGACAAGTCAATACAATACAATAATATTTTTTTTCGATTAAAACAAGCTCTTTCAATTGAAGCAGGCTTTTTTTCAATTAAACAGGCTATATACAAAAAAAAACAAGCTATTTGCAAGGCATCTAACTCCGAATAAAATACAGATTCTGAGTCTGACGAGCTGAGCGTGACACAGGATCTGTATCTAAAGAAAATAGCAAGGCTTCTCAAGTAACACAAAACATTCATATTTTAGAAAGCAATACATGCATATCTTAATTAACAGGAAACAAGCTCTATCCAAAATGTGAATGAGGGGACAATATAAAAATTTAACAGAAGATACTCAAGTTAAAATGTAGGTCATGGTGATCCAAATGCTACGGAAAACTGTTGAAATCTCTAGCAGAAATGTAGTGCTTTAACGTAGTAAATCCAAATAATTATAGCAAAACGTCATCAACCCGTTTCAGAGAATAGGAAAACAACAGAAAATCGATATAAAGTTCAAATAGCTTATGATCAAGCGTAATTTTCTTCAAATTGTCTACCTTTGAACATAACTTGTTATCAGCATCTATTTTTTATATACAGTTATCCAGCTGCAAGAGTCTGAATGTCATCTGTAGCCACAATTTTTGTTTCACACGAGGTCGACCCCAAAGATGATTGCTATAATTTAACAAAATAACATTGTTTTTACAAATGAAACGGGAATACCATCACATCTTTTAAGAGACCATTTATTGTAAATATGAAACAAATATAACTACATGTATTTATGTAATTTTGAAGTAATCGTAAACATATAATACCAATATTACGGAACATACATGTACCATTTTATGCTATCATGCCATCAGCTCATATGTTGATCAATCTGCCGCCAAAAATATCCACATGTCCTATAGTGGGCCGTTTAGTCATGACTAAGGTTGGACATGTGGTAACTACTATGACGATTGATGATAAAATTTGCTTTAATTGTTGCAATTTGTTTTTAAATTTTGCCTTTTATCTTGAAAAGTATAATAGACAGAGAGAAAATTTATTAGCAAATATTATCTACAAATAAGTCAACATGGCGGAAATCGACAGACGACTCCTTATTGGAGTTATTGCCCTTCAATGATGATTTTTGCCATTTTTTTAGTGTAACTGTTTGCCTAATATTATAAAAATTGTAATAGATAGATAGAAACTTAATAGAAAAATGATCAGCTGGACAAGATCTATCAATAAGTCAAATGACCGATATCGTCAGTTGACTCCTAATTGGAGTTATTGCTCTTTAATACCGATTTTAAACAATTTTTAGTATTTTTGTCTTTTTTTTTTAAATAAACTGACAACTCCATGCAAACAAAAAACGAAAGACAAACAACAGTATATACAAAACACAACATATATAAATAAAGACTGAACAACCACAGGCACTTGTCTCTGAAAAAAAATCCTAGAGACAAGTGCCTGTGGGAACAATACAAACTCCAACAAAAATTGGTGGTGATCTCAACATAGAGAGACACTTTACATAGCATAAATTGTCAGCAAGACATGATCTTCAAATAAATAAAATTTTGCGGAAATCATTAGTTGATTATGTATAGGAATGATTGCCCTTAAATGACGATTTTATACACTTTTTTATGGGGGTTAAAACTAAAAAATAAAGAAAGAAATTGTTAACAGAAAAAATTCTCAGCAATACAAGATGAACAAAAAACGAAATTTTTATCATGAATTCTATTCTAGTCCACATTGGTGGAGAGTGTCCACTGTTCAAGATTCATATAGATTTAGGTGAGCGACACAGGCTATTAGAATTTCTAGTTTATACTTATGTTTCATAGAACAAAGATGACGCCAGTGACTATACGTGTTGATTGGACTAAAAATCGAAAACAGGAAGTCAATTAAGTCTGTTTAAAAATCAATAAACAATTTATCGGCCGTAGTAAGGAAAACAAAATATTCAGAGAACTTCAACACAACAAATGTACGGTATGGGTCTGTCGTTGTTTTCCTTCACTGTAAATAGTTTGGCGCAGAGATATATATTATTTAGTTTATACAAGTAATTATATGCATTGACATTTTTTACACAAGGATCTTTTGTTTTAATTACAGTAAATAAAATATTGATAAATCATGCAAAGACATAAAATAATACTTTCCCATACATCGTGTGCGTATTTATGTGACGATTTATTTTGGCCATGTGGTGTATTTAGTTTCCTTTGAGAGTTGATGAATAAATGGTTATGAGGAGGGGAATAGCAAGTTTAAAACATTTCACATATAAAACAATTAAAAAAAAAGATCAAAGGTCCAATTAAGGTAACCTATTGAAAACCAGAAGCAGATAGAAATCCAACAACCACTTCATGCATTGCACCACAGTCTACTGGTTAAATATAATAAGTGTTTCAGTCTATGATTCAGATTTTTGTGTGTAACTTTCTGTTTGTGTTACTTTTGTTGTCTCTATTCATTTTGATAATTTGACCGAGAACATGAGGAAACACTCCTACATGTATATTATTAAACATGAGTCATAGCAATGTGTCCGTATTACTCGGTGAATGTTTCAATCCATTTTCATTTGATTTCAATTGGTTTTTTTGTAAACGATGTTTCCTTCCCTATTACAGTCTCCATCCAGGAAACAATTATGCACAAAATGGCCATGTTTTCTTCATATTTAATATAGCAACATGTCGGCATTGATTCTGGTTTTTTGTTTAATTTTGTTCTACACCTTTATTTCTTTATCAGGTATGTAACACTTGATTGTCTTATATATCTGTTTATAATAGATATTTTGGAACTTGTAAATCTTAATGTGATAATTTTAAACATTCACAAATTCTCTCAAATTTAAACGTGTTGCAAAAGAATTTTATGCATTAGAACAGCGCTATTTGAAAGTTATTAATTAAAGTTGGTAAACATGTACAACAAAATATATCCCGTTTGTCGTAGTATTCATCTCATTTTTTCTTCCATAACTGAGTTCTTACAAAATTAGCATAACGAATGCCATATTTGGAACCTCTTTCCCTTAAACTATCCGAATTACATATCCTGGAGTTACTCAGTTATATATTCCTTTTTAATAAATGTTACATGATTATGTTTGTGTCTTTCTGTCACTTTCTTGCCATGGTGATTACTATACTGCAATTTACGTTTCCTATAACACCCTGGAACATTCTTTTCTTATCTTTGAATTTGTTATATTAAATATTTGTTTTAAGGTTCGAATAATCATGCTGTCTAAAACACAATAAGACATATAAAGCCCTAGGAGATTCAATGGGCCAAATCCTAGATAATAGAGTTTTATCTTGTACATCTCCAACACAAAAAAGTGTCCAGTTTATTTTTCTAATTCATTTTTAAATACTACATACCTTTTCATCTCTGTTTGTTCAAGACGGTAAAGTAGAACAGTGGTATGATGCCGTCAATTTATGTAAACAACAAGGACAAATATTACTTCCGGAAATAACTAGCAACGAATCTAGATTTGGATACAGACAGAATACAACAATGTGGACATCTAGTTATATTTTGTCTGTGGACTATGTTAAACACACAGGTATGCATAAATTTAAGAATGCATTATACATGTACAAGAAAATTAGAATTCATTTTTTTTTTAATTTTGAATTATATACTCATTTTATATTTCATTATTTAAGCACATACATGTAAAAGATTGTTGTGAAAAAGAAGAAAATTGTTTTGAATATTTTTCAGACCTTATCTTTGGAGTTTATTATCTCATTTTTTGTTATTTACCTTTATTTGTCTCTTGTTAATCGATTTACAAGATTTGAACATCGGCAAACTACTGTCGGCTTAATTTATCATAATATCGTTTAAAAAATAATACTGTCATTGACTGTAACCATTTGGTCTTACAATACAAGAGAACAATAAACTTGTTCAACCCAATCACATGTTGTATCTGTAGCAAGTCTTTAATTAAATATTTTTTCTCCCTTCAAAAATGTTTTTTCTTGAATTTATTAAATCCTTCCCAAATAAACATCAGGCCGTTAGTTTTATCGTTTGAATTGTTTTACATTTGTCATTTCGGGGCCTTTAATAGCTGACTATGTGGTATGGGTTTAACTCATTGTTGAAGGCCGTACGGTGAACTATGAAAGTTGTTAATTTCTGTGTCATTTGGTCTCTTGTGGAGAGTTGTCTCATTGACAATCATACCACATCTTCTTATTTTTACATTAAAAAGGATTGACCATTTAGTTTTCAGAAGACAAAATGATTGAACGTATAAATTGAGGTTAATGAAAAGCTCGGGTGTCCTGGAAAACAAAAATTGGAGATTTTTATTTTGTCATCGGTAAAGATTTTATGAAATGACTGAAAACTGAAAACGTCAAATAAGCATAAGTGTGTCTTCCAAGAAAAATCTAGTTTTAATTTCCCCGTCTTAAAACTAAAATGGACACAAACGTGGTACTTCGATACGGACTAATGACAGAAAACTTGATTTTCCGCATTTAGTTGCGGAAAAAATCTACAGAATATAGAAATTAAAAAAACGTTTAGGAAAATAGGTTTCGTGGTAAGTTGTTATCTTTAATTGTTCAAGAATCAATAGAAAACTAATTTTTATATGTTGTTATTATCATGCTCTAATGCAAAATAAAAACATTTTAAACTAGTTGATTCACAAACTGATCATTTTAAAAGTTTATCATTTAATGTTTTTAGCGCTGTACGTTGAGCAAATACCAGTAACAGAAGTTCATCGGGGACTTTGTTATGATAAAAGTAAGTGATGATCTAATAATTGTATTGCGTGTATATTTCATAAGAATCCGCTGAAAGCAATCGCGAAGCATTCCAACATCAAATTGAATAAATTCAACATTCATGACAGCACGTGCTTGCAATGACAACGTTACAATAATGCAAGGAAAACAAACGAAAAATTTGCTATAACTCGTAGCTTCATGTTTGTAGCTTAAAAATGTAATTATAAAAATGGAATGCTTCATTTTTTAATGTTAAAGGGTTGTAAAAGCCTTAATCGTGTGCACATTTTTAAGCGCTACATACAAAATGTGATTCGGTCCCAATAACATTACAAAAAGAAGCATTCAATTTTTATAATTACATTTTAAGCTACTTTAAAAACATATTTATCTTATTGGAAAAGTTCTTTCGTTATGTTGTTAATACTAAAATGTATACAAGTATGTGAAATATCAAAATTTATACCGTAAACAAACATTTAAGTCTAACGATGTCATCACCTAAAGAACTTCCAAGACGTTACATTTCCATTCTTAGCCGATTTATCCTTTTTCTGATCTGTTTGTTATTTTTATTCAATCAACGTGTGAGCCAGTTCTTCATTGGTCAAAATTTTGTTATGACTTCAAATTTTCTTGCTTTCCTCTGAATTTCATATCGTGGTGTCATGAAAAAAAGGCGCCCATGCCTGATGACGTTACATAAAAAGAACATTTCTTTTTGTAGATTACTGGTAAAGAAGGTTCAAGTTTGACTGCATATTCTTTAAATCTTTAGAGAAACAGATACTACCATCAAATATTGTGCAATACGATATTTCTTCAATCTCGACAGTTAAATTTCAAATAACTGAAACGCTCGGCGAGCCTTGCGTTTTAACTTTAAAAATTTTAACTGTCTAGAGTTGAAAAATATCGTATCACACTCGATGCATTGGTAGAATCTATATTCATATTTATATAATTTTTTTAACCATGTCCTCTATCCGTTGATTATTGTCTCATAATCAACATGTAGGGTGACTTACTCTCGCTTCTTCATTGGAAAATGTTAAATCATGTGTCAAATTTTCCTATTGTCATTTTCTTTGCGGCGCCATGGAATTTTCGTGACCATAGTTAATGACGTCTAACAAGAGCACTATTTGTCAGATCATTGAAAAGGAAATCATAAGGGAATAAGATAACATCACTGAAGCTCGTGCAATACAACATTTTTCCACTTTTAACAGATACATTTTAAATATTGAAAACGCTTGGGAAATACTGGATATTTCTTGGCACTGATATCCCGATTGTGTATTTCAGTGACTGACTTTCTTTCTCGCACCATAACCTATTTCTCAAGTACGGCGACAACACAACTGCCTTTTTAGTCTGTTGATCTGAATGTCGTAATATTTTACAGTTTCAACTTTCAAGAATATTGTGCACAAAAAAAATTACAATGTTTGCTTACGTTTTAACTACACTGTGTTTACTTATTTGTCTTTGCTCTATACGCATTTCTCGTATTTACATTTCTTAGAAACTCTCTTAGCATAGGGTTGGGTTTGGTAAAGATGTTAAATATTGTTAGAGCTATAAGATTAAGAGAGGCCCGAAGTGAATAGCTAATACTAAACAGGTTAACAAAGCAAGCCACATCCATTGTCTTAGCGGAATTAGTATTAAGTCGAATATATAACGAATTACATCTAATATAAACTCGGCTCGACAATGTACTGGTTTTCTGTTAAAATCATTGAGTGTATAATGAATCACCTCTAATCTAAATCCTGCTCGACAATGTACTCGTACTCTTAGAAACGTATGGTCCGTTTGTCTTTTGAAGAAGAAACAATGGCAATATATATGAGTGACAATATTTATAAAGTTTAAATCTGAATTTATTGGTAATTGTTCACTGACACAGCATTACAAAAACTTAACATGAAATATATTTGGACATGTTTTCTTCGTTAACGGCCTTTGTCGTTTATACACATCGACAGATCAAAACCCATGAAAGCATTATCTTAATATACATAAAGTATGTCTTACCATTATGATATGAATGTTTACAGAGAATTCGGATAAACTAATTGTCTTGAACGTTCCTCTAAACTATTCCTATCAAGACTTCAAATGCAAGTGGGATTACATTGGGTCAGGAAATCATCCCGATTCTTTACTAAATATTACAAAACTAAGCGTTGTAAGAGAAGTGGTTGATGTCATGGACTTTGGACAGAAGTATTGGCTTAGTGACATAAGCGAAAGCGTGTATAGTAAGTATATTTTGTTTGAGTTTCATATGTTATGGGACGTTAAAAGAAAAGATTTTACCTCAGGATATATGTATTTGCTTATAAAACGTGGACATAATACATATAACTATTTTGTTTTTGTCAAAAAGGCATAGGATGAAGATTTCCAGTATTTCAATATTAAAATATATACATGTGTGTATTGTGATTTGCCATGTGTAATACCACTGACGGTACCTACTTTACTGCACCAGCTGCGCATTTCGAAAATAAATGTCTCTTCAGTGAAGCACCAGGCAAAACTGTTCTAGAATCCAAAACTTACCTATTACATAATTTAAAGAGCTTAATAGATACTAGTAATCGAAAAGACCAAAAAGTAAAGCCTAACACGGACAAGGAATCGAAGATTTGGGATATGCATTCCTTAATTTAAAATGCTTTTCTAAGATTAAAACGGTAAATTTAAATAAAAACCATCAGTATTGTCAAACCAGTACAGAAGTACTGAGCGTCTTGGCTGGTTATACACTCGGTTAACGCTTCCTTAATCCTAGATAATACACGATTAAAATCAAATTGTATGAAATATATACATCAATCAAACAATATTTTTGAAGTTTTTTTTCCTGAGTCCCTTCTAGGAAGAATTTTTTTACTTGAGCTCTGTTAGAAACAAGCTAGAAGGGTTTACGTGTTCTTTATTTTGGAAGCATGTTCTGAAACATAGAAGTCATGTGCATCCTCTCTGGGCATGTATTCAGGGTTTTTGAATTAACGCTCCCAATATTGTTTTTTTTTCAAACAAATATCGTTGTCTTATTTTTGTTTTGATTTTTTTAGGTTTAGTACAGCAATGTGAAGTGTTTATTCACGTAGCAAATTCTACATTGAGTGGGAAGTTTTATACTAAAATGCGTTATTGTGATGATATGAATACTTATAAATGCATTGATGGTAAGTTTAAAATCTTGATATTTTTTTTTTGGAAGACATTTATTTAGAATTTGACGATATACACTTGTATGTTAATAGTATTCTATATTTCATTTATGTCATGCTTAAGTATGTTGTTGGGTTGTTGTCGCTTGATATTTATCTCACATCTCATTTTACTCGTTCATAAACAATGATACCTAAAATTGACTGCCATTTGTTACGTGCTTAATTAATGTATCTGAGTATTGCATCTATCATGTCAATAATGAAACAGTTTATTACCCCGGAGACTTGATTCACTCCATGTTTGTTCGGTGTTCGTCTGTTTGTCTGAAGTTATATGTCTGTGTGTTGATTACAAAAGTGACGGTTAAAGTTATTAAACTGCACTTCTTCATGAAAGTCAATGACAAAAACCTCAATTATACCTTCATGTATTACATATAAAAGCATGATGAATTTTCATAGGAAAGAAATACAGAACAGCTGTCTCACTGGTAAAATATCTACACCACAGCTATTGGAATGATCATGGAAGGAAGAGGATGAATTACTCTGGTAAGTTTAAGAGATATATGTCAGGATGAAAAAATTATATTGTTCGAAAAATTCGAAGCCTGGAAATTTAGCTCCAACATGGGGTTTTGATAAATATGATTATCGAACATTATCCGTTACATAACCTAAAATGCAATGATTTTGATGCTATTACTTGAGCTAAATTTCATGACTTTTATTACTCACACATCCTCCATACTTAATTTATTCACTAGTAGCAAGATTATTTAATTGAAGCTTAGAGTATGCTATTGGACGTCTCTGTTGGAATTCGAGCGAAATCTCTTTTATACAAAAAAAAAAGAAAATGTATTCAAACATACAGGCAATTTCTCGTTTGCTTTGCTACAAAGAGTCGGTAAGTAGACTACGTTGTTGCCACGTGTATCATTACTGTCATTATAATGTAACACTTTTTGTTTTAAAGTTTAACAATTGATATAAAAGAAGAATATGTGGTATTACCTACGAATTCTAGCTTGCCGTATAAACTATTCTTTATGTGTAATAAAGGAAGAACATCTATGGTTCTACCACTTCTACATATAAGCTCTTTAGTGTAAAACCTTAAGATTCGAGCTACAACATACCGTTGTTTAAGTTCATTTGAAAGGGTGTTTTCTACCACGTTCGCAAAATTTTTGTTCCGAAAAAAAAAACATATCTTTACTTAGGAATGAAATTTGTGAGAGAAATAAAAGAACTGTATTTCGTCATTAAAAGAGAGGCGAAGGATACCAAAGGGACATTCAAACTCATAAGTCAAAAATAAACTGACAACGTCATGGCTAAAAAATAAAAGGACAAACAGACAAACAACAGTACACAAAACAACATAGAAAACTAAAGACTGAGCAACACGAACCCCACTAAAAACTGGGGGTGATCTCAGGTGCTCGGAACATTATTGGTGACTATTTTCTGCATGTTCCTCCTACCATATGACTACGGTCCGGCGTTTGTTTGGTTGGTTTTTTTTTTGTTCCGTGACTTTGTCTGGTGTGAAGAATGAAGGTGGCTTAAAAAAATTTCAACAATTAACTTACACTTATCTAACGGTGTAGTACAATGCCGTGATTTATTATATACATAGTATTAAATACAAGTAAATTGCATGTGTAACACTATCAAAGGCAATCGTGCTGTATCAACCATCCGTGATGATATCGATATTGTCACGGTTGCAAAACCTTTATGAAACCCCTAATCTTGGCATTGGTATCAGTCATGGTTCCAAGGGCTTTATTTAACCGTAATCTATATTACCTCATGCCACGTGAAAGCCGTCTACTTGAAGTATATTATCAAGTGGATATGATATCGCTTTTTTCAATATCACACAGCGTATCAACCCTCAACTAATATAATCTCTCGAGTAGAGCTCTTGTGATTACATTGGTGTCTCGATTTGATATGTGTGTGACATTGAAAAAGCCATATGTTGTTTGCTATATATATTATGTCAATTATTTGAATCAATTATATATATATATATATATAAGTAAAATAAACCTGACAACTTTTCGTGTTTTCCCAAATATTGGAAGTGGCTGAAAATTTTTCCTATTTTTTATGTTTTCCTAATGTTTTCTCAGTGAAACTTTCGAAAAATAAGCATTTTATTTTATTTAATTAAATGGCTGGGGTCCCTTTTTAAGATATTTGAAACATCGTACATGATTTGGATCAAATATAAAATAGAAAGTGTACAATGGGGTTATTTGACAATGATTGTGTGAAAGTGTCTCAGTTCAAAAATCAAAATGGTACCCTTTTCATTTTTGGACAAGCACTATTTGGATTTTTTTAGAAAAAAAATTGAGTTTCTTCTGTTTGGTAGTTTATATATGATTCGTTAAACCCAAATTTCTATAATGTACCTTAATATGTAATTCCACATTTACTAATAAAATTGCTTAATATATAAGTGTTTTCTATTTGAAGGAGGACTTGTATGGCAATTTTCAATTATTGGTACGTTAGGAGGAGTCATTTTGATTGGGTTAACTGTTACCTGCTTGATGTAAGATATTTTTTAGATAACACAATTTTATATTAATAAGTATTGTAATTTTCATTGTTTTTAAATACATGTAATATCAGTATTACAAACCTAATCTTGAACTCTATCCTATTTTTTTGGAAATTTTTAGAAATTTACCTGTGACGTCACTTTTGTGCGTCGATCTATTCGGCTGAAATACAACGCGTTGTTCGGCTGTGCTGTTTTTATGTGCTGATCTAGGTTGTTTTACGTATTCGTTTTTATTCTGTTGTTAGTCACCACTTCGGTGTTAACATGTATATCAATTATATGGTCATTTTTATATCTTATAAATTTACTGTTTGCAAAAATATGAATTATTCTAAATACTAGATATTTTCTTACCCCAGGCAGATACCTAGCCGTATTTGGCACAATTTTTTGAAATTTTGGGTCATCAACTCATGAGTCCTTAATCACACTGAACCTTAATGAATCAAAAACAGTCAATTAAACGCCCCTCAGCAAATTTGTTGACTTCTGGAACGAAGATATCCAGGTAGTCGTATTTCTATACTGTAACTACGTTTGAGGGTAACGACAAATTTTACTTGATAATTTTCTTTTCCTTATGTTACAATTGAAGCATCTTTATGTTGATCTGTCTTCAAATGCAATAAAGGTAAAACACAAAATTCGGACCAAGTTGATTGATATAAAATTAGAAAGAATGCTAGTAAAAAATAAATATCAAAACTGTGTAGATCGTTACACATTGTTATTATTTATCGAGGAATACAGTGCCAGTGAAAGTGTTTTCAGCGATTTACTTCATTCATTTTGGAAGCAATATGACGCAATTAAATTAGACCCCTTATTTTATTCAATTTTTTTTCTAGTATAAAGCGATCAATCGGTAACTTGAAGCGTGAAGTTCAAAGACTGAAGCAACAAAGATTTGAACATCCAATGTATGGTACTGACCAGATTCAAATGATACAGAGCAGTGTACCAGAACCGCAAACGCCAATATCACCCACAGGTTCATCTTTGTATGAAAATTTTCTGAATTCAGGTACATCAGGAGAATCAAATGTAACTGTTAGTTACTTGACATCGACACAGGTTCAGCGCACAGTGGAAGTCACAGAAACACACAATGCAACATCCCAAGATTACAGCGACGGTTTCAGTCCACATTTTCTTCCTCCATTAAAAATCCCCCAACACCGTCCTATAATTAGACATACTTCACTTGTAAATAGCACGGACGGGCAAGTAAAAATGCTTCATTGCAGACAAACGTCGACTGAACCGGCATCTTCCAGAATGTTTCCATTACAACACTGCCTACGTGGAATGCCGATCGAATGGTTTAAAACCGACGATGATGTTTACATCCATGGATCTACCAACTCAACAAACAAACCAAGCCCTAGACCATGCACTACAAACATTGAATCAAGAGTTTCAAGTAAAAGTGAACAAGCAAGCGCCTTATATTTGAACACGGGGCACTCGGCTGATTTGGAAAATCCAGATATTGAAATCGATGGGGAAGATTATGAAAACATTTGGGAAAAAAATATTTAAGATTGTATTTACTTGCGTAAATATAATTCGTACGAATTCAGTCTTTAATTATATTCATACGTTAGAATATACGCCAAAAAACTCATAGATTTATTATAAGATAATCACTGTTTGATCTGTACATAGAATTTTGTATATTTTGACTGTATATATTATACGTGTATTATATTAGTATATGTTTTCTGTTTTCTCATTAGCCAAAGGCATAGGGAATGTTCTTTTGTAAAACATTATCATTTCTCAAATATTCTCCAAATCATTAGAACATCAAGGGAAAACAGACCTTCACTTTTGACATTTTAAATATAAAAGATACAAAGAGCGTACCTGGAATCAAAATATTAGAAGCTTCAAAAAGTTGACTTTTAAATTAGATAAATTAGGCTATTCTTTTTGGCCTCTTTTGGTTGTATAGCTCCTAGCGTTTCTAAGTATTAATACTTTCATGGCTTTCAAAAATGAAGTAAAATCCAGAAAAGCGCTTCGGACGCAAAGTGTTATTTTCATATATTATCGCAGGGTAGATACCGCTGCTGGTGAGCTGTTAATCCCCGGGGATATCATCAGCTCAGTAGTCAGTGCTTCGGCATTGACTTGATTTTATAAGAACTATTTAAAAATCCCCGTTTAAAATTGAGAAGCTTATAAGAAACTAAAGTTCTAAGTCCTTCAGACAAAACTGACCTTTAAAGAGTTTGGCTATTCTTTTTATGTCCCTTTTAATTTGGTTATGTTGCTCCTAACGTTTCTACGTGTTTATACATATCTGGCTTTCAATTGTTTGTGTTGGAGCGTTCAAGATAAGTAAAATCAAGAAAAGTGCTTCGGACGCAGGACATTTGTAAAGTGTTATTTTTATTCAAAAATGTTGCACCATCAACGCCTCTACAAAAGAAACTCGCACAAGAAACAATGAAGAATGTCATAATGGTCAAGACATATGGTAAAGACACATTTCTCTGATAATTTGTGTTCCTCGTAAAGGGGAATGGAAATGGTACATGTATATAATTACGAATTGAATGAAACAGATGGTAACTTTTTTTCAAAGGGAGTTAATAGATCTTTAAATATGATAGAGGAATTCTGGGTTCTCCGTTTCTCATGATTTGAACGATTTATCAAATATCATATGTTTCCAAGTACGCCTACATGGTAGGGAAACAAATGTCATAGGTACTACATAATATTATATGAAACGAAACTACAATTAATCAGCTCCAAAATTTAGTCTTCGTCAATGGTGTTCGTAACCAAATAAAACTGTACAAATGGTAACTGAAGGTTGCAACTTCCTTGAGCAAAATTAGACTTACAGTTTTAACGTTAATTCGATATCTAAAACTTTTACAAATGTATAAGCGTTTTGCTTCCTATAAAAATAAGGAGATTTGGTATGATTGCCAATGAGACATCTATCCATCAAAGTTCAATTAAAGTGGATGTTAGCAATAACAGGAAACCGTACAACCTTCATCAATGAGAAAAACCCATACCGTATAGTCAGCTATAAAAGGCCCCGACATGAAAAATATGAAACAGTTCAATTAATAAAAACTAACGCCCTACTTTATAACAAAACAATTTACGAAAAATAAATATGACAGACATGAACCAACGACAATCACTGAACTACAGGCTCCTGACTTAGGACAAGTACATAAAGAATGTGGCGGGGTTAAACATGTTTGAATGCACACAGACCGGACGTGACAGGGTATTTATACATCCCTAACAACAAAAAATACCGAAAGTATGGATCTGAGAGGACTCACAGTAACTGACAGCTCGTTCAAAGCCAATAACAATTGATAAAAAAAATCATGTATCTAAGACTTAAAAATCAATCAGTACACATTCAACATCCAACGGATTTAGTGCAAAGACGTCCTTAACAGTCAGAGAATACATGACCTTGTGCAATGCCAAAATATAGGTATCGACAGATTGTAGTACCATAAATGTGCATATGTGTATGCAATAATACTTAGTATTGTTTTAATTTACTGATAACAAAATTAATATTTAAATTAATAAAAACAATATTCAAAGATTTAATTACAGTGTTAGATTGGTAAACTTTTAGAATCAGTTTATTTAAAGGATTGATAAGTTTACCCGGATCCTAATTAAATTTCCAGGCTCGGTAAACAACATCACTGTAAAAATTAGGATGTGCTATTCCGTTTGAACAGCCAAACTTCCAAACCAAATCTTTGTATCTATTGAAGAATTTAGTAAAGGTTTTAAGTAATTTGTGGTAACGATATCCCTGACTTAATAATTTACCAGGAATACATAGATAACGCTCATTGAAATCCAGTCACTACAGACACGGGCATAGCGAACGAGTTGGGATATAGAAACACTGTAAGACGGTTCCAAAGAAACATCACCGTCCAAAAAAGAAAAATTAACAATAAGGAAAGAAACTCGTCCCTTTTGTCGTAAATTTTTGTGCAGAGTTTCCCGTGTGAAAATGAAAAAAAAAAATTGAAACAACACATTATAAAGGACAAGGTACGATAAGGCCCGTTTTTGGCCCCCCTATTTTCTCATTTTTAACATTTTTCTTTTGGAAAGCTACTTATCACGTTAAAATATTCCCTTAGGTTTGAAGTTTGTTTGGATGAACTTCAAAACCATTATTTTCAGAAAATGGGTGAGATTAGGGGGTTAAAAGGGCATCAAAAATGCTAAAAGACGGAAAAATTACGATTTTTGGCCATTGTTTCTTAAAATTTAATAGCGTGCGCCTACGTGTCCCCGAGAAAATTATAGCGATTTAGACAGCAAAAACAGTTCTCATGACATTGGAATAAAAAAAATTCCTGGGTCACGTTGGCGCAGGCACTTAAAAACTAAAAATTCGTCGTAAAAACACCTGCAAAGTGAATAATAATTACAATATTTGAATAATAACAGAAAGTTAACCCCCTCACCTCACCTAGTTGCTAAAATTAGTGGTTTTGAAGTTCATCCAAACAAACTTCAAACCTCAGGGAATATTTTAACATAATATGTAGCTTTCCAAAACAGAATTTGAAAAATGAGAAAATAGGGGGGCCAAAAACAGGCCTTATCGTACCTTGTCCTTTCACGCGTCCGAAGCGCTTTTCTGAACTTACTTTCATCAGGAACACTCAAAGCCGAATATTTGAAAGCCAAGGATGTACCAGAACCGAAATATCTAAATCTAGGAAAGGTCAGTTATTGCTTTTAATATTTGATTTTAAGGTAAGTTCCTTGGGGAAATTTCGGCAGTATATTTAGGGAATTCCTGATTATTCAACGAAAAAATATCATCAAGATAACGGTAAGTGTGGTTGAATTTATCAACTAAATGAAATTGAGACGAGTTTTTACTAATTTTGGCCATAAACTTTGATTCATAACAATACAGGAACAAGTCTGCTATTAAAGGGGCACAATTGGTGCCCATAGGAATACCTACAACTTGTCCATAAACTTTATTGCCGAAACGTACATAAATGTTGTCCAGGAGAAAATTTAGAGCTTTAATCATCTCATCACACATCCAGTAAGTATATTTGCCTTTCTCATTAGAGAAAAAATCTTTATATGAGTTGCAGCAAATAAATTTACAATCAGATTTTTCAAACGACAATTTAATTAAATAGGAAAACTTTTGTTTGGTAATTATTGTGTTGAAGTGTCAACCGAATCACAAGGACCATCTAAAGTACGTAATTTATCTAAAACATTCAACAAGCATGTTCATAGAAATCGGCACCAGTCATGTACGTTTATATTAAATTCTAAAGTACTTTGTGCAAGTTAAATATAATCAATATTAAAGATTCAAAACATTCGTCTCAGACTATTACACATTAACATTTCATCTATAAAAACATGTTTAATTAAAATTTGCGTTTGAATATAGTAATGAGCTATTTTTCCCGTATTCTGCGGTGGAATGCAACATTTTTTTTTCTATACGATATCTGACATAACTTTTGATATTCTGCAAACCGAGTAAAAGAAGGGGGAATCTGGTCACATCTTTGTCTTAGTCATATCTAGAAAATATGTCTTTCGAAAAATAAAGCGTTCATTGCAAATCTTTTGCATTTTTTTTTATTTGAAAACTAATTGACATAGCATTAACCATTAGCCTTTTTCGTAAACCGTAGGTTGAGCTATAGATGTCTTTCGTCTTTTTTTGTGTTGTTTGGATGCTGTCACAAAAACTTGTACCCAATACATCTCTTTTCATCATACCATGTATATATACAAGTTTAATAAATTGTTACAATGTCCTAGAACGTGTAGCATTGAAGATTTATTGTTGTTTGCTTAACGTCCAGTGGAAAATATAAATAATTAGTAAACATGAAAAGTAAAAGCTATCAATAAGGATCATTGTCGAATAATCAACACCGTGAGAAGTTCTACACAAAGTGTCTGGTTTTTTATAATAAAATATAAATTTTCTTTTTCTTGTTGCTGTTCGGAAATGCCTGCACCGTCAGGAATATGACAGTTGTTTTCCATTCCGTTCCGTTGGTTGTTTGATTTTGTCAGTTTTTAATGGACTTCTCCTTTTTGAATTTAACTTGAAGTTCGTTATTTTTGTTAATACTTTTTTGATATTTATGATGTCTAACCCAACTCAGTTTTTAGGTGGATCGTTTCGGGCGTAAACCACGTGAATGACAAGATTAACGCTATGGGTGGTCTTTTACCACATAGAAGTAGTAAGCAGTTTTCGCATAAAAGTAAGCAGTGAGGTATGGGCTCTTGCATCTTGTTGATAGCCTAACTATGACTTTGAGATAAAGAACAGCAATAAAAGCGGCTTTACAAATGTTTTGTTTTATTTTTTAAATGCATTTAGAGATTTGTTGTCGTGACTAAATATACCTTATTCTTTCTTTTCCATAATAGTATTCTATATATAAATGTTAGATAAGCGTATAATTCTATTCAAAGCAGTTACTTTCTTGTATCAGCTTTTTAACGTTTGTAAATATATTTTTCATTAGATTTTCAACTATTTAGCTTCGAGCATCAATTAAGAGATATTAGCTGTCGAAATGTGCTTATGATGCAGTAAAATTGGTACCGAAATGATCTTTCCTTCGAAAATATCCAGACAATGATATGTGCTGCTAGGCTCTAGTTTAATATATTTTCAAGACCACATTATCA